AATATACAAATAAATTTTTCTGTAGGTATTTACAAAACATATTTTCAGACTTGAGCACAACCTGAAGAAAAAAATTTTAAGAAATACATCAGATCCTCTTGATCTGCCTGAAATCGTTTTCAAATCTGTGTATAGAGTCAACAAAGATACAGCAAGATGATACAGAATACAGAATAGATGAAATTGGACCATTTACAGGCGACCCAGAAAGAAATGAATTAAAAATTCCAAAATCCCAAATTATTCTATGTGCCCTACATTTTTATGCCCAAGGGACATATCAAAAATCCATTGGACAAGATATGAATTGTCCCATGAGTCAATCTTCCGTTAGCAGGTGCATCAGTATAATAACTGAAATCCTAAATGAACACTTTGGATATAAAGTTCATTTTCCTCAAACAGATGAAGAAAAAAATGAGGAAAAAGTTAAGTTTTTCAACAACTTCAATGCATTTCCAGGTTGATTATTGCTTAAATAATAAATAGCTGTCCTTTATTATAACTGTTTGAATTTCAAATTGACCCCTTTAAATAATATATTGTTTTTTTTATTGAAGGCATCATTGGAGTTGTAGATGGAACTCACGTAAAAATAGTAGCACCACCTGCTGATGANATTTCTTTATTTTTATTTATTCAATTGTTTTATTTTTACTTGTATTTTAGTTCACTATTATTTCATTTCAGGTTTATTTTGGTTAATATAATTATTATTTTCAGCTATCTCATTTTTAATCCTTCTTTTTCAGTCGTTTCAGGGATTTCAAATCATTTTATATAGTAGACAATGGAAGTCCGAACTAGTGAAATTCAAGATTCAACATTCTTTTCAAAAGAATAAGAAATATAATTGAGCGAGTTATTGGCATCTTCAAATCCAGATTTAGATGCTGCTTTGGTCACAGGGCCCTACATTATGCCCCATTGAAAGCAGCAAAAATTGTAAATGCTTGTGCTATTCTTCACAATATATTGCCTGGAAAGGAAGGACTTTTTTGAAGAAGAGAATTCGGAGGATGATGCACCTATTCCAGATCAGCCAATCAATTTTGATGATCTGAATATAAGTCAGAATTATTTTAATGAAGGTGTACGCACCAGAAACAGGATAATCAATATTTATTTTTGATTTTTTGTCACTATAAATTATACTCAACATTTTGAAATAGATTTTTATTTAAATAATGTTTACATTTGATATTCATTCTTTTCAACTCAAAGAAAAATATCTTTCCATAGCATCTACAACTTTTTGAATGGCTATAGTTAATTCGTCCATGCTATTCTCCAACTTGTTCAAAAAATCTGTTCAAAATCTGTTTTTCCGTTAACCAGCTGTCGCACCCTTACGAACGACAACCCTCAGAAGTCGAAACTTGTGCGAGCTAAGGATTAACGAGGTCTTACCTTTTAACGTGTGATTCCTAACACGGGTTGGACGGTAGCAAGTGAAGATCGATCGTTCAGACTAGGGCTTGAACCACCGACCAACACGGCAGTCAATTCGAGTGAGTGAACAAAGCACCCACGCCGAACCGCTTGGCTACCGACTGACCCCGCTTGGCTACCGACTTGTAGCTTTCAACAAATTCAAAACTGTCCTATATTTTTTCGTACTTCTTTGTTTCCTGGTGTAGCACCATTTTACAACTTTTTTTGTTGTAGGTTGTTTGAGCTTCATCATATGTCCAAGTTCCTAAAATCATGGTGTGGTAATACTTAATAGTGCTTCAAGGCTACATACCTTTTGTTTTGAAAACCCTAGTTCGGGAACTAACATCCTCACGATACACAGCATACTCAGAATGGCTAACAGGTTTTTTTCAAGCTCAGTTAATATTATTGGAATTGGCAAACCACCACCTGTGAG